TAACTGTCACCCTTTATTTTGTCTTCAACTTTGATATGAAGTGGGAAAAGGACATTTCACAGTACTGAGACGGAAATGCAAGCAGGCATAGATGACCACTTTGAAAAAGTGAGAAACTGTAATACTGTTCTAAGGAAAAACATAAAGAAGGGTAAGATATAGGCTTATGCTTGCTGTATACTCAGCTTTTTCCAGTGGTTCTTAGAACAGTTGTGTTTGGCAAGTGGGTTCTATAGCTTGTGGGGGAGCATTTATTAATCTCAGTTTTGTTCTTCAGCCTTGCTGCTTACATAGCCCATGTTGTGGCCTGTGAAGTTTGCAGCTGGAAGACTACCCTGAATTTTAGAGATCTCTATTTCAAATCCCAGCTCAACTTTAACTGTGAAAAAGGGTCCCTTTATTTCTTGCAGAGAGAGCCTTGAGATGTACATTGGATATCTAAAGTGTCGGCACCAATTTATTTTCCCTAAGCATAATTAGGTCTTCCACTCACTAAAACTGTAGTCTATGCTAAACATTTTGCTGGCAGGGCTGTGCATAAAATGTCATAGTGTTAGGTTGGGAAAATGGGGGTTTTGCGTAGTAGACTTAGCCTAATGAAGAACCGATACAAGGAATAGTTGCAAAAGAGGTTTTGCTGGCAGAAATCCCATTATCCCTGGGATAATTTGCTGACTGAGGTGTAAATGTAGGGCAAGCTCTGAGCTGGCCTTTGGAAACTTGTACATACCCTTATTTTTTTTTTTTTCTATGTCACGACAGTGGGAGGAGTGAGTTGTCAGCGATTAGACAGACTACAAATTAATTTCTGTGCTCTTCTCTGTGGAAAGCCTAAATCCACAGTTGTGCAGTTATTGTGATTTCTAGCTGCAGAAAGACGAGTCATATAAACCTGTCTCATGAAAGTCATCTTATTGCAATTTTGATCAAGACATTTAGTTTGACCCTCTTGCCTTTTTTTCCCCCTATGCAAAGTAAGAATACAGTATACATTTGTTTTTTGAAAGTGTTTTGATGATTGTTGAATAGTTGAATAAGCCTTTAACATCTAGATGGATCATATGCAACACTGAAGCACAAAGGTGAATCTCTTCAGCTGGAGAGATTTCCCTTTATCAAGCTTTCTTGGGACCTTAGTGCAAGCAGCTATGTGCCCTTTCTGTGATGGGCCTCCAACTGTGGGTTAAAAATTCTGGGGATTGTCTTAGGGTTTTTCTGTGTATAGTTTTTACTATTTTAGGTATCTCTATATAAATCTTTAATAATATTGTTGATCACTTTAAGTCCAAAATTCTTCCTGCTTGTCTCAATCTAATATTTGACATTTTAAACAAAGCAGTTACTTGCATAAATAAGCATTCTGGTCTCTTATTTATGGTTGTGACAGCCTGAATTTTTTACGTGCTTGTGTGTTTGCTTGAAATTGATGTGGGCTTTGAATCAATAGTAAGTAATTTAAAAGTCTGCTTTGCAAATATTTTTTTTTGTGAACAGCACCCTCTTCACAAAACAGTGTTTTGTTCATTCCTTCCCCTCCCACTTCCCCTCCTCATTAGCTATCTTATCTTCCCTTTTAGTAGGGTTTTAATGTGTTTTTTTTTCAGTAGAGGAGTAATGTTTAATTAAAAGTTACTTGCATGTTTTCAATTATAGATGATAATTTGTTTGATTTTACACTCTCAATTGCCTTGAGTAATTTCCTGTAGAAATACATATAATCCCATTTGCATGTTTGGAGTATTAGTGTGTTGTTTGCATAGCTTGTGTGTAACACTTAAGGAAACCACTGGAGCCTAGAAAGAACAGATGATGCTTTTTAGCAACAAACAGTGATCCAATGGATATTCTTTCTTCTCCTTGCTGAATAATTATGGAAACAACTTTTTTCACAGAACTGGAAGTTAGGTTGTCAAACCAATATGATTTAGTAAAAAACTGGGAGTTAGGCAGGTGGGCCAGCAGTAATGTTACATTCATAAACACTTGACATATGTCAGTGCTGACTGGTGTTAATTCCTAACTTCATGGCCTCATATAGTATAGCAGAGAAAATACATATTAACACATCCCAATATGTTGATATATGTCAGACTCTCATTACAGATAAATTTGTAGCTTTTAGCTGTTGAAGATAAGGTAGCAGGAGGCTTACATGTTATTGCACCATGTGTTCAGTCCAAGTGGAACATAATGTATTGCTCTGCTCTCCTTAGTTCAGAAGACATGAACTCAAAACAGGGAGAGGTGAAGAGAAGGACTGCAGTGATAGATAAGGGAGATGGACTGTCTGTTTTATATGATAAAAGTGCCTATCTGGGTTAGTCTTGTTTGTGTAAAAGCTGATCTGGAATTTGGCTGGTGCTTGTAAGTGCACAAGACCACCATTCAGAGGATGTAAACTGTTAAAGCATGGTGCTGCTCTGGAACAGATGGGTACTAAGCAGCTTGAGTGTTTTAAGTGTACATCAGAAATTTCTTCCTAACCATCAGAATGATGAGGTTCCAAAAAAATTTCTGATAGGTAGTTTATAAATGATAATGTTTGAAGTGGAGTTGATTTTTTAGAGTGACTCTATGTATATCTGCAGTAGTAGCTGCAATATTGTTTGTACACCAGATTTAAATTTCAGTATTTTCACTAAATACCTTTCTCCTAGTACAGCAGAGACATACGTGAAACCATGGGATCCAAATTTTGTTTCAGTTCTTAGTGAAAAAGTGTCCTTGCATCTGATACTGCCTTCAGAATTGACAGCACTTTCCACTTTTGTTTGCAACATCCATGTCATACCCTGTTTTGTTGATAGAATCCTGTCAGGAAGGTCAACATCGTTCTGTCCTCTCTGATGCAGTGAATGTTGGTCTTTTGTGCTTAAATGCACCAGTCAAATTCCAGATCAGCTTTTACACCAACAAGACTAACCCAGATATGCACTTTCTGCTTTGGTATGTAGCATGTTTCTCCACAGAAAGGGGGGAACACTCCTCGCTGGAATAGAACTGTTTTTTTAGGTTCATGTCTTGACATGACAATTGGAAATTTTAATTCCCAGGGAGGACAGGCAAATGTAGATTTGCTGCTCTTTGGATGAGCACAGTCCGGAGGAGGAGGAGGAGTTAAAGTAAGAAGTATAGCACCAATCTCCATCTTTCTTGAAACAGAGACTTTCAGTTCTTTGAGTGTGTGGTGGTGGGCACCTCTCACACAGAGACTTCTCAAATTCAACACCAGAAGATGCTTACTCAGCAATTGCAAATTGCTCTCTGAAGGCCAGAAGGGCATAGGATTGAAGGTACATCAGCACTTCATTGAAATGGCCAGGTGCTGTCAGCTCAGTGTTGGGGATGCCTTGAAGCTCTTTTCACATACCTTCCCTCAGGAGATTGTCACTTTTTCTGGATGCCCTTCATTTTATTCCTTATCAACAGCACACAAAAAGAGGAGGAAAGCTGGGGAGGCTTGGAGGAGTCTCATGCAGTCCCACACCAAGATCTAAAACTGCCTTTGAACAAATTCTCTGCTAATGATTGTGCTTAAGTCTTTGTTACATTATGTCCCTGAGGTTGTGGGGCCCTGTGTGCTCCTGAGGAAGGTATAAAAATCAGTATATGTAAAATCCAGGAAGAACTTTGAAATGAATGTAACCACATTAAACTTCCATATTAGAACAAAAATAGTCCTTTGTTTCAGCATTTTTTATAAATTAATGAGTTAATTCAGTTTCACTTTCCTTCCTGGTTAGGGTAAGACAGTCCATATACTGTTTTTTAAAAATGAATGCTAATAATAGACATGGAATAGGTCTTTATGAGTAGCTAGAATTTTTCTGCTGTTCAGATATTGCTAGTGTTCAAGTTGCACATATTTCTTGTTTAATATTCAGGTATTGCATTTGGTTCTTGAAACCAGAGAGAAATACTTCTATGATCAGGAGTACCAGCTAGGAACAGCAGTAATGTGAGTCATTTTGACAGTGAGCAGACTTGTCAGAATGTTCACATTTTCAAGACTAGATGGTCAAAGATATCAATTTATTTCCTAAATATTTTTCAAAATCCTAATGAAGATTTAAACAGCTGTGCCTCCCAGTGTCTTGAATTGAAAAGATAATTAATTAACAATTTTATTTTACTGCTAAAATAGTAGGTGTTTACTGAAAAGTGAAAATAGTAAAAAAGATTCAGTCATGTTGTTTGTAATACTTTTAATAGTTGAATTTGCCAATCTCATAGTGTAAAATATGGCAATCCTAAGGCAAAAAGAGAATTTGTAATGAATGAATACACTGTAAGGTACTGAAATAATTTTTAATTTATTCAGTTTATATATTAAGTACCTTTAACATATAAGGCACTTACTTTTTTTCCCCTCATAAACCCTGTTTGCGTGAATTAATTTCACATTGTCCACTTCTTTGGGATAAACTAGAGCTTCACTGTGTGTAAGACACCTTTATGTTACAAAGTGAAGATCCCCTGGTTTTGGCTGAAATGTTGCTGCATTACAACAGTCTCTTGCTTAGGGCCCTCTGCATAGTAGAATATTCATTTAACATAATAAATCACTAAAAGACTATAGCAACTTACTGGACCCATTCTTCTGTATCTCTGACTACTGTTCTTGCCAAAAGTGTTAAAAAAGGCTCAGTGGATGAAGGAATCTATTTGTGTGAGACTACCTGCTTTGCAATGGTTTCACAAAGGAAAAAAAAAAATTGTGCTACGTTCACTGGCTCTTTAATTTGGATTGCCAATGGTAATGCAGAGTCTACGCTGAAGAGAGGTAGGATAGAGAAGCAGAAACATTAGTGCTAATCTGCTGCAGAAGGACAAGATAAATCAGCACAGCTCTCATACATCACTGAGAGAAGCTGATTGCAACTTGACCATGTGCCTAAGTGGTCACATCAGCAACAAGAACGGAGCATGGATAAAAAACCTAAAATGTATCCTTAGGGCTACTTGCTGTGCACGACCTATAATAATACATCAATGTAAGTTTAAGGGTTTTTTGTTTGTTTCTTTCTGTTGCAATTCTTGTTGTTTACAAGAGTATATTTTTATTTTGCATAGATTTAGGGAAAATGTAATGGAGTGTAATACTAAGCAGATAATACTTGGATACTGTGTATGTCTGTGAATAGTAATAGGCTTATTGCTGTGCGTCTCAACATAGTTCTTTCCTTGAAGATGTTTTAATATTTAATCCTGTAAGTCACATTTTGGGAATTGAGTAAGGTTTTGAATGAGATGATAGTGAGATCTCCCTTTATAATTTCTATCATCTTGTGTTCAAAGTGATCTTAAAAAAATTTATTTTTACTGTGAGAATTTTTGCTTTCCATAATTTTTTTCTGTTAAGAAAAGTGCTCATAAAGACTGATCTATCTGGACCTTTTTATTCATTAATTTAGTGCAGATAGTAATTTTCCTACATTTTAAAAAATTTGTGCAATTGTTTAATTTACTGTCATTTAGGCATCTGCAAAAAGGGAAGGCAGGGATTAGATGAGAACTGAATAAGCATTGATTGCTAGTCTGAAAATTAAATTTTGAAAGTTTTTGCAGTAAATCTGATTTCAGTCCATTTTTACTAAATTCGATTATCATATTTAAATTGAGGTTACTGTACAGAAAACAAATGTGTGAAACTGTCCTGGAGAGTACACATTTCCTATTGTATCTGACTTTAAAGATGCTGATTGCATCTACCCAGGAATATCCTAATTGTAAAATTCAGAAAACATGTTTAAATAATGCATGGGAAAATAAAAAGGAAAGATGGAATTTTACTGTTCAGATGTTAAGGTGATGCTTTACTTTAAGAGAAAAAAAAAGTGTAGTAAAAGCAAAAAACTACTGATGTGAAATCTCAGGCTGTCTCTTATGGCTTTAGGCAAAAAGGCAGGGAAACCCAAAACAGGTCTTGCTGTGCAGTCTGAAAGCAAGGGAAATTTGGAAGCATTTATGAAAACACACTAATATTTCTGTATTTATTTACTTGTTTCTAGGGAGAGAAGGTGGCTTTAAACAAACAAATTTATAAAATATGTAAAAGGAGGTGTGAAGGGCACTTCAGTGATAGGACCTTGAGAAAGTAGATATAAAGATACAGAGCAACATCTATTTATTTTAGAGCGTTGTAACTGTGGCCAAATATAGTACTAGCAGAAAGCTTAGAAACAGCCCATATGAGTGTGTCTACAAATGATTTATTTTTGTGGCAATTAAAAATGTAGGGATAGTTGTGTGTCTGTTATCTCCTTCACAGACCTCAAATATTCAGAGTATGGGCCAGTTTCAGATTTTGCAACACAGGTACTTTTTTTTTTTTTAGGTCCTAACCAAAACAAAAGGTTTACTTGTTAGTAGTTGCAACTTTCCTACAGGACTGATGGGTGGAAATAGAGAAGAGAGAAGGTAAAGCTGTATTGCAAAAAGGGTGCTTATTCTTCCCAGCAGAATAAATAAGCAACCTAGCCAAGTGGCAGATGAAACATGAACCACGTAGAGAGTTTATTTTTGTACAAATGTGCATATGGATGATCACACAGGCCCTCAGTTGTACTTAATTCCTGAAGCAGAGATGTCATTGGGAACTAACAACTTTAGCAGTCTGACTTAGAAAATAATAAACTCAAATAGAGAGGAAAGCTGTACAGCAACAGGAAGAAAAGAGGAATGGTGATTTCTTTGATCTTGTTATGTCTGTTCTAATGTACCCAATGTGGTCTTAAGTTGTCAGCTCCATGGCAAAGATTCCTATGTTTTGTTCTTTGAAATACTCTCTTTACACATGCGACAGAGTAATATAATCAGTCTGGCTCCTCTTAATGGAGCTGGACTTTGGTGAAATAAAAACATCCTTTTTTTTCTGTCATCTGTGTTCATTGGAACAGCAGAAGATTATTTGCATTTACAAAGATAATGAAACAAGGAGCTTCCCTTGTTTTAAAGTTATTCTGAGGAGTTAGAAGTCCTATATCTGCTAAGATTCTCTATAGTTGTGTTGATGTGGTCTTAAAACAAACATTTGCTTCAGTGTGTTTCTGTGAAATTTCATAATGCTGTCACGCTTAAATTAGATGCTAAATTAATTGCAGTGCATATGACAAAACTGGAATTAGGTAACTGCTTTTTTAAAATTTCCTTTTTAGTTGAAGAAATAAAAGTCTATTGTGGGCTGAATATGGTTGTGATGAACTTTCCATTTGACAAGACAAGGCTCACCCTCCTTCTCCAGAGTGAAATTCTGTGTTTGTCAGTCTGTTACCTTGTTTTACTGTTACTTGTAAAGCTCTTTCGCTAGACTCCAACATGGTATTCATTTTCACCTTCAGTTTTAGTCAATAAATTTATGCTAAGTAGCTTCTTGTGCTTTAAAATGTGCTAATGGACATTAATGCCTGCACTTTCAGAGCTGCAGGGGGCTCCTGATGCCAATTTCAGCATACTGAATTTGCTTCTACTTATGATATTTAGGAAAACAACATAAAAATGTTCTTGTTACGTTTGAGTTCAGTGGAAAATGTCCTGCCAACCAAACTTGCCAAGGCAGGGCCTGAAACCTTAAAGCAGCATGAGTCCTATGGTGACATGACACAAGCAACAGGCTGTCCTGGGAAACATACAGTCATAGGAGCTCAAACTGTGTTGGTTGAATATAATTTCTTGGTTTTCTGTCTACAGAACAGTACATCTTCCACTTGAAGCTGAAAGTCTGACCCCTGTTATCTCTATTGGTGGCTATATTGCCCCAAGGAAACTGTTGCCCCAAGAAGAGGTCTTTCAAGTTCCATGATGGGAGATAGAGTCAACTTCTGTATTGGTGCAATGAGTATATTGTGTCCCCATCCCAAAGCTTATGAAATCTGCTGGCCAGGAAAAGGAATGACATGGCTTTCCATCTTCCTGCTCCTCCTAGTCCTTTTTGGGTTTAGGCACTTCTGATAAAAAAAGAGGCACAATTTTGCAAGTATCCCAAGAGACCTAAGAACTGTTGGTCTTTCAAGCATGCATAAAAAGCTTCCATCTCACTATATAAATGCAGGCCTAAGAGCTCATTGATTTGTTCCACAAGTTCAATAATCACTAATCCATCTACGGAATGGCGTCTGGAATGCTCACAACCAACTTCTGGCAAAAAATGTTAGCTCACAAGCTACAGTGTATAAAGTAGCCCTGTTCAACAGCATCAGGTGCTGCCAGAAGTATGGTTAGAAGATTTTGATAAGTGACTTTGACCTCAGACAGTGTAGCATATGATGCATTTGTAACTGTCTCAACAAAGTGATCTCTCATCCAAATGTCAGTGTCTTCTAGGGAAACAGGGAATCTCTGAAAGGGGGAAAAAATTTATCTGTAAATTGACTCTAAAAGAAATAGTACCAATTACAGATTTTATGAAAAACAAACTGTACCTTGATAGTGTCCTCTTTGAAATTTTGGAACCTCTGTTGAAAGCCATAAACAAATTATAAGGTACTGAGAAAGATCATATTTGAAAGGAGTTTTCTTGGTATCTCTCCTTCTCATTTTCAGATAGACTTTCCAGCCTTTCTAAATGTTGTCTGTGAAGTGGATATTGTCCAGAGCATAGTGAATTGCATGGTATCAGACTACTGGGGCACACACTGCAGTGATTTCAAACAGGTAGCTTCAGGGGACAACCACTCACCTGATCTTTCAGTCTTTTAAAAGAAAGACGTATAATAATGAAGGTGTGTTCAAAAATGGGATCATTCAGACTGATGCCTAAAACTCTGCTATTCAGTGAAAATCATACACTCCCAATTAGGTTGTCAGTATTTTGTGAAGTTTTTTGAAGCTTTTAACAGTTTTTATTGCCTCTTTGATTATCCTGGAAAGTAAATAGTTACATGTTGGATAACCATATGGATGATGTGTTGGTGTATTTAAAGAAGATTGCTCAGATGGCTCAGAGCCCATAGTGGCAGTGCCAGGATTTTTATGCACTAAAAATCTAAACAAATAACTACAAGATGGAGGGAGCAATCACTGAAAGGAAAAGTGAGCAATAAAATGTAGAATTCAACTTTACCATCAGGGACAGATATTAAAGCCATGGGAGAAGTTGTAATGTGACTTCTCATACTACATTTGGGCTGTGTCCCAATTAGCTTTCCAGCTTCAGCGGGGAAAGTAGTTTGAGGTGGTTGTTCCTTGTTCCCAGTCTACAGTACTGGGCTGCCAGTGATCTTTTTAAAAGTTCAGGTTTCTACCTCAGTTTTTACACTTCCTCAGTGACTCCAGTTGAACTACTAGCAGAAGGGGTGGAGAATCAGGTTGCACTTTTCACCACAAGCCATACAAACTCCATTTCTCAGCATACCAATGTACCATAACAACTTCTTATAATAACAAGGCCATTGAATAACCTGGCATGATTTTCCTTGGACAGATGATGAGTGGTGGGAGGAAGGAAGGAAGCAGAAAGGAAGGCGAGGGATAATAGAAGGAAAATTCTCGAGGGACTGAGTAATTTCTTCAGGGAGACACTTCCCATATTTTTTATTCAGTGCCTGAATGCTGCTCATGCAATATATACAAATATTCTCAGTCTCTTCAAGTGAAAAAGGACCCTGTAATCCAAGTCCACTCACTGAACTATAAATGTAACCTCACTGAGAGAAAGAAATGGTTTAAAAGACTCATATTTTAGTCAGGTTTTATCAAGAACTGTAAAGCACATAATTCTCATAACAGGAAAGCTTCAGTTGTTTTAAACCCTGGCAATTTTTTATTTGAGAAATACCCAGGCAACAAGCCTTCTCTCAAATGAGATAGAGTGGACTGTTTTATATCAGGAACTGTATTTCCTACTTTTCTTTGTCTGCCAAAAATTCTCTTGCCAGAAACTCTGTCATTTCAATTTTTATCTGTTGTTGAGGGGAAGTTAGTTAACCATCACAGTATCACCACCATCACTACAAAAAATATCAGCAGATAGTGAAAGGCTATGGAAAACTGATAATGCTTAATTTTCCCTGGGCCATGACAAGTCATGATAAAATTGCCAGCTCCATTTTACAGTGGAGAGGATTGTGGTATGGATATGCCTTAAAGTAATCTGTGGACAATTCTGAAACAACAAGGTAGCAAATATGTCAGGTCCATGCTTGTTACTACTTTTGCTATGTTGGTATATAATTAATAAAATGTTACAGCCACTACCATGTTCTGGTAGTGGATCTGTGTCATCGAAGGAACACACAAACACTGGTTAGACTTTCAATGTCTTTAAAAAATTAAATGTACTAATGGAAATTTTCACCATTTGGCTGCTGGAGTCAGAGTTTTGTCCTTTTCAATTAGATTATATGCACAGACCAGACAGACCTCATTGGGACAGCCCTTGCATGCATTTGATGGAGAATTTGACCAGAAATGTTTGACATCCAAACAAGCTGAAAGCTTAAACACACATTAGACAAAATTTTTTATACTACGTGATGAGAGTATTGCTGATTGTTAATTTATTAGTAAGCTGTTAGTAGAGAGTATTTCAATACAGGTGTGGAGCTGAGATTGCTGAGATTTCATATGTGGTGCTCAGAATCAGAAATGTCTGTTTCATGTGTTGCTAGTTATGTCAAGAATTACTTCTGTAGTGCATGGCATTATTCCAGATTGTATCTCAATAAAGTGGATTATTCTTCAGTGCAAGGCTTTTCTAGGGAAGAGTATATCCAGGGTCCAGATTTGAAGGCTCTGTTTCAAGTTTTACAGAGTGCACTTGAGAAGAGTGGTCAGTTCTTTTTTTGCTCAAACCCTGTAATGTGTTTGCTGTCTGTGCCAAGAGGCAGTCAGCAAATGTTTGCAAAGGGAGTTTGTTGGTGTGGATAAAAAAAAGTAACTGAAGTGAGACTATGGCAGAGAATAAAATAACAAATGATGTATCACTGCTTTTTTTTTTTTTTAACTTCAAATTAAGATCTGTAGTGTGCTAATAACTTCATGGCAGTGGTGACTAAAATGATTATTATCCTTGTTGTACATGCCTTATAACCAATCTTTAAAGTCCTAGCACCTAGCCAAAAGTTCTGTTACATTTTTACAACAATGATGATCGCAGTGGTAGTGGAGTGAGGTGTTGTAAAACAAGGCACTTGAGCAGGGGTGAAGAACAGACTTCCTGAAAGAACTGAAATGCTGTAAGAATAACAGGAAGCTGTTGATGCAATATAGCTCTTGCTTCAATAGAGAGCTAGTGATCAGAAATTCAAGCACATTTGTATTCTTCATTATCTGAGAATAGTTGTTCCCATTGAACTCAGTCTTGATGGCACTGGTCCTGCTTTTCAGATCAATATGCTCTCCCTAATTCACTATGTTTTTATTCATATATATATATGTGGAATCCTCCAAATAATGTAAGCACAAAAATTTGGTGTAGAAAGAATTTTATTAAAAACTAGATGTTAGTGTTTCAAAGGAGACTAGAGGATCTCCTGGGATTACTGAGTAGATGGGAGGAGTTGATTGCCTCAGGCATAACCCAGGGCCATTAATTACAGCTAGTCATTAATTCTCCCGTAACGCCCTGTGCTGATGCCACTGTTCCTGTTACGGCACAGAAATAGAAAGCTGTCTGATCTGTGGACTTTGATGACTTATGTTATTCTTATAATGATTACTTATATTTCTAAATGCTTATCACTGAAGTGTTCATTAGAGTTCAGCTTGTAAGCTTCATGTCTTTCTAGAGAGTTATTGTTTTGCTTGTTACTCACAGGAAGCCTTTAAAGAGCTCTTGAAAACACTATAGCCATTATAAGGTATGTTCTGTATATTGAATCCTGGGAAACTAAAATTTATATAGATACTCCCAAAAGAAAATCAGTATACCTATTTTCATATGTAGAGAAAATGAAAATTGAATATATGGTTCCCTTACTCTGTGGTTGCCATATAAGGCAAAGTGAAGTCTAAATTCTAAGGACCTGTCGTGTTTTGACACGGAAAAAGAATTTTCTCAGAAGGAAGAGGTCAATTTTGGATGTTGACCAATTGAAGGTGGACATGCCTCTGAGAACACAAAAAACTAAAGATCCAGGTTTTGGGTTGGTTTTGAAAACAAAAATTTTAAATTAGTTTATTTCAACTCCTGAAGAAATGCTAATAAAGGACAGAATAGTTACAAACCATTTAGAAAAAATAGAAACCAACTATATAATATAAACCAACTATATAGTATAAACCAATTTCTGTCATACGCCGTTTACATGCATGCTCATGTACTCAGCACTGCACAATGAAAGCATTGCTGGACTGATTGTAGAGTGCAGGAAGAAAAAGTTCAGGGGCAAGAGACAGCCCCCAGCACCCAGCTTAGGAGATCATGTGAACACACATGACTCTAAGCAGCACAGAGTTTCAGTAGCAAACAGCAGCTGTGAGAATTTCCAGATTGCTAGACTTGTATGTCTGTTTAAATTATCTTATGCTTTTCTCTAGAAAAAAGTTACTCATCTGACCTTTACATAGAGTCCTTCTTTGTCAGGGATCTCAAAGTATTTTACAGATGCAGAGGTTTAGAACTGACATGCACATGTCAGAGAAAAAATGAACAGACTGACTGCACCATGGTTGTACAGAAGTTTGGCAGTGCAGAAATATGACTACTGATGGGCTTCACTGCTGCTTTCCCTGAAAGGCCATACAGCAGCACTGCGTAGCACCCCAGTCGGGAAGCATGAGATGCTTTACTCAGCTGAAAATACAGGTGAGTTGACAACACTCCTAGCCTGTATGAGAACACTGCTAAATTACTTAGAGAAGGAGCAGCAGCTGAACTCTGTAATTGGCACTTGTGGTGTAGACATGGATTTGTATTACTGAAATGTGAAATTCCAGCACTACATTGTTTACAAGAAATAGGGGATAATGTTATTTGAGGGTTGATTTAGGATAAATAACCACTTCCTAAGGTGTGTTTGTTCTCCTTATTTACCCAGATGGACCTTGCTTACTTTATGAATTCAGTATTGATCACAGGAATGTTGGGGCATATTAAAGCAAAAGAGAATAGAATGTCTTTGGGCCTACTAAAATGTTTGAAGTTTATAGAATATATTTGTAGGAGAAGTTGTACTTGCAGTTCCTTAATGGCAATATGGTAGAAGATCAGTATATGGATTTTTCCCTCTACTTGTATGTTAAATCTTATTGACCCTTGTGTCTATTTCATATCCATAAATGGGAGTAGAGCCAATGTTCTTTCTTTTTAAAAAGAGTAGCTAGAATTCTTTTCTGTTCAATTATGTTTGATAATTCTAAGATTTCAGGATGGGTATTTTAAAAATGCTTTATGTTGTTCCTTTTCCTTCTCCGAATTTGCTGTTACAGTATGACTTGCCACTGTGCAGGAGGAGGTAGTAGCTCTCTTTGTTGTGCTGATCTTCCCCCTTTCCTTTGGCTCAAAATGAATTCTATACAGGGCTTTCAGAGAAAAAGAGGGGTGGGAGGGAAGAGGGGAAAGAGGAAGAGGACAGGAGAGACAAAGTGAGAATGGGAGGAAACCTTTGCCCTCTGGCATCATTATGAGGTCAATATGCATCCATTGCCCATATGAAAAACCCTGTAATAGAAATTAGACCATTTTAGGGTATAATGAGGATTTCCTCTTCTGTAGCTGGGACTTGGCTAATAAAGTCTTAATTTTATTCTTCTGTGATCCAGTAATTTTTAAATACTGAACATGTTAAATGATAATTGATTCAGCAAATGAGTCCCTCAGAGATTTGTGTTTACCAGATGAATCAGAGGAACTGACTGATCTTCTGATCCTGTTGTTTGCTGAAGTTATGAGTGAGGCTGTATCAAGTACCCCCCAAAGCAGTCCTGCAGGCCTCTACAGAGAGTTGTTCTCAGTGACAGTGCATGCACAGTACTGAAGAATTCAGGTAGAGTTAGGGGGTTATGTCTTTATCTCAGAAACCTGGAAGTAGTTTCCTCTGTTAAGATTCTTTTTTCTTGACAGATCTCCTGTCTGTTAGCTTCAATCATCTGTGGGGTCTGGAGTATTCCAGCCTTCTATTACAAAGGTTATTCTATAGATAGGAGTGTCTGAAATTGAAAGTATGGAGCTCTGTGAACACATAGCAGAGCTGTGTGTGTTGTACACAAATGAAGTCTGAACTACCAGTACATACAGAGACAAATGGAAACCATTGGGCTAAACCCATCCAAAGATTGTAGTGACTTCCTGCTCCCCATCTCAAATATTTCAGAGAGGTACAAGCACTTCTTACATGCTGTTCTCAAAGAGACATCACAGCAGCTTGATGGTGACTTACTGCTATTTGAATTTATCTGGTTTGAGTTTCCTTTTTCTTTGAAAGGACTTAAACTTTTTTTAAACTTCCTTCCTGATGTTTGTCTTTTTTCCAGATTCCAAAATTAGATCAAGTCACATTTCCTCATGGAACTTCGGCTTCAAGGAGGCATTGAGCTATTGCAGCCCCTAGTCTGAAGGTTCCTGCTCCAGTGGATGACCTGCGCTGTCATGCACAATATCCAAAAACAATTGGACAATGACAAACTTAAAAAGTTAATGCATGTCCTGCTTACTGTCCCATCCTCCTTAGCTTGTGCTTTCTGACACTTGCTTGATGTTGCTGAGTCCTTGTTGTTGAAAATGCTGTTTAGTCCATGATTTGCCTGCTCCATTCTCATTTGACCTGTTAACTGCTAAAGAAAAATAGTTATTTTAAGAATTGGCTTGTCAAAGAGCTCTTCAAAAACCTCTGAAGATTAATATTTGATTAAAATGTGACTGCAGCATTAAAAAGGGTGCCCTGTGTCTTTTTACAAATGAATAGCTGGCAAACTTGTGTACTGTCTAGTTTTTAATTGGCAAATTTCTCAGCTAGTGCTTCAGGGGGAGTTACAGGGGAGGACAAGGAGTTAGATGATTTTTAGATACATTCATTACCACTTTTATCCTTAGAGAAGATGACTAAATCCCTACATGAATCCGCAGATTCAGTTTAAAGTTCTTTTCTGGAAATAAATAAGAGGATGTGCTCTACATCATGGAAGAAAACCCCAGGTCCTCACTTGGGCAACCTCATATCAAAACCAGGAGGTTGGATTTATGGTCATTCAGTAGTGGCTGGACCTGTGACCTGTGCAGCTGCTGCACTGTTCTTTTTGCCTGCCTCTGTTTATTTGCTGCATTTTTTTTTTAATTCCAGTGAATGGCTGCTGATAAAATCTGCTCTCAGAAAGATCTTGAGAGTCAATGCCTGTCCATTTTTATACTCTGATGGATCAGAAAGACAACCAAATACATAAATATTATTATATACTCTACAGGATACTCGAGGACAGTCTATATGGAGACGGAAAATAATGGGTAGACTCAGTGTACAGTTACCTGGATACTGTAGCGCTCTTAGGAACACTTATCAGTCTGCTGCAGAAAATACCATGGAGTAGGGTATCAGGAAACCGAAAGAAGCACAGCTTAGATCTGTTTAATTTTACTTTGGAGTTTGAAAGTCTTGATAATGCTTTGGAAAAAAAAAAGAGTCTGTTCCATTGGTGTGTATGAGTTTGGTATTGCTGCCTTTGCCTCTGTAAGTAGTGTAACTCAATGTTACAGCTCATGAGAATTAAGATAATTCAGAAGAGGGCTCCAGAAACAGCCTTTGACTGTGTCTCTTGTGTCAGTGTGGGGCTCCTGCAAAGGTCTTCCACTAATTTTCTTGTCTCAGTAGTTGTATGCTGACTTTTATTAGAAAAAGAACAGCAGAAAATATTGTAAAATGAAAGAATAAAGACCAAAGGGCTGTTATTTCCCAAGGACTCGCTTCCAAACTAGGAAACTTGGTAGAAGTGAGATATCTGGGTGACCTCTTGTACCTGGATTCTCCCAGCTGTATAGATAGGAAGAGCAGTATGGGTGGCAACTAACTGCAGTCAGTGTTCTTGGTTTTTTTGATGTGCTCCATGATCTGGAAGACGGACAACTGGGTATTATTCTGGATATTCATCTTCATACAGTTAGAAACAATCAGACATTGAGACAGTGCATGAAAATTCAGGGCAGACAGCAGTCAACTGTCATTTGATCTTTTCTTTCAGTGGAAAAATTATTTTTAATTAGAAGAAAGATCACACACATAGGTCTTGAGTCATCTTCATGCTATATTTTTCTTTTCTGGCTGATGTTAATTAAACCAGTTCAATGAGGTACTCTGAAATGCAGTATGGAGTATGGAGTAGAGTGTATGCAATATGTACACACATATGCATCTTTGTTTCCATTGAAAGGCTGGTAAATTTTTTTTCTAAGATGTAAAAACAGCTTTATGTAACAATGGAAAGCAAAACCAAGTGCTGTGTTGCTTTTTAGAGGTTTGTAGTATGCTTTGGTTACTTTTATAAATGTCTAACTGTTCTACTGCAGGAAAGTATAGATAGTTTCTCATGTTACAGGACAGAGGCAAATTTTGTCTCAACACTTGCCTTTTTCCTTTCTGGCTGTTCTTTCTTGAATGTGTGGCAGTTTCTAAAAGACTCAAATCTGTTCACTGATCCCTGTTCACAGTAAAGCCCTCTTCCCAATCTTTGCAGACCTGGCCAAGAAGATGACATGTTGGGCACAGGATTCGGGGCCAGTGGCTGGCAGCGCATAGGCCACTGCTGTGTGGAATGCTTTGTATTGTGGAACCACGGCCAATAGCTATGGGCTGCATGGGATAGTGGGAAGGGCTTGGATATAAGCAGCATTTGTGCTGGTTCTTCAGAAAGGGAATTCTAAGAAAAGAGGTCTAAACAGACCTAAACAGACTAACATCATGTGTTGCCACTCGATGTCATCAGTGTCTGCTACAAAGTTGTAAAGCTGGGAATGTAGGTAATTAGCTGTTGATGAAAATTGACTACAAGGGGGAGGAAAAAGGGTCTAAGAGGGTGGTATTGAATAACTACATCCATTACTGACTTGAATTCCTTGAGAAGTACATTAGGTAGAGTTGTACCTAATGAAAGCTTAGCATATGAGATGTTTGTTGAAGTAGGAATTACTATGTTAGGGGGAAAAAAAGTTTTAAAATGTTTTGCTACAACTTTTATTTATAATTTCAAGGTTAGTAAAAGGTGAAACTGCAATGACTTCTATAGCTAACATGAAAGTCTCAGTGGGTTCATTCTTCTACTCTCTTAGGACTTCCTGATTTTAAGTAGTAGCTTTGGTTTTACTAATATTGGGGATTTCTGTCACGTGTTAAAAAGACACAGAATGGGGGGGACTTGGTTCTTCAGTGATTTCCAAGATAGATTTTGAAAAACACATGACAAAAGTGTTTTGAATCTGGCCAGTTCTTACTGTTGCATAGCACTGCCCTTTGGGCTAGTTGTCATCATCTTTGTAGGGCTGATTCTCCTGGAAGTTTATAGGGTTGGTCATATGGCCTGGTAATGAGACATATGCAATAGTACCTCTTTAACATTAACAGCTGGTGCTCAGTGTCAGCTGTATGTATAATGTACCCTTGTAATTTAAATTGTAATGTTGTGGAACAGTAGCAATAGCTCAGTAAGAATGTCTTTTTTTTTTTTAAAATGCACATGATAGATTAAATTATTGGTCTAACCAAAGTGTTATTGCTTACTACTCTGGGTATGTTGTGCTGGATTTGGACAGAATGGAGACCTGTGATGAATAGACAGTTCCTGTGATGCTGCGGACAAGAAATTTTTTAGTTATAATGCAATTATAATTAAAATTCCTCCCACTCTTTCTTTGGTTCTTTCCCATATAGCCAGGAGAGCCTAGTCTGTCTCTAGTTACCTTCACACCCATGTTCCTGTTTTTGTGCCAGCTTGCTCACCCTTAGCCATACTCCTGTCCTTGGGAGACAGTGCTGGCTTGCCAGACTGGAGTTGCCCTGAACAGCTCAGCATAATGGTTGAAGTTTTGGCTGCTGTTTCAGAAGCTGCCACTGACATTAAATGAAACAGAACTTGCCCAGCACTTACTACTTTGGAAAAGCCATCCTCTTTGGAAAAAGCATTTTAACTCTGAATAAAACATTGGGTTGGCTTTTAGCTCATGAATAGCACTTTATTCCACTTGAATAAATATCAGTACTGACAAGTAACCACATCATGCCCTGACCTTATGTAAGTGCATGGCAACATTCCAAGTTAATTTTGGCTATTACTTCCACAAACATGTTGGACAGGCTTTTGTAGGCATTTGATTCCTATTTAGGCAGTGCTTTAGCAGATGGGCTGTAAAACAACCTGACAATTATCAAGGTTCCATGGACTGATTAGTTCTGGCTTCAGACACTGACAATATCTCAGATACTTCCTTCCCAGGCTCCTCCTGAAGGCTTTGCATCTTTAAGGAGCCTGTGACAGATGAGTGTTAACAAATGACTGAAGAGCTAGAATTTTATGAAAAGGTTTTGAAAGCAACACTGCTTTATTAACAGGAAAAGTTCAAGCAATTAAAAATCACTGGAAGACAAATACCTTCCGATCTCACTTTTGTTCTTCAGAGTCCATGAGGAAGGGTTGTCTACCAGTGTGTAATCAGCAAACAAGTTTTCTTCTTGCCTCACTGGGCCTATGTTCGACCAGTCTGCTTTCTGCTTGGACAACTGAATGAAATACCTTGGACAACTAAGTGAAATACCTTAGACAACTACATGAAGCTTCTAATGCTACTGTCAGATCACTCCTGACACTGTCCCAGTTGGCGTTTGCTTGCCCTTGCCATGTGCTGTCATTGCAAATGTGAACTTCACCATCATGGTTCTACTTTTTAAGACTCTGTTGAAATAGGAGATCATCTTCATTTAATCACCCTCTTACTGGAGTTGCGAGTATTGATAAAGATAGATCTTAACCTCACATGGTAGCCCCAAATTGTCATATGCTTCTAGCGGAATTCTTAAGAGGCATAGCACTTTAGGTAACTGCTTCTGAATGCTTAATATCTTTAAATTATGTTCCTGGGTTCACTGAACACCTTTGCAGTGTAGTTTCTGCAATGCCTAAGTTATTGCTCTAAATGCAGCATGGTTAAGTCATTCTGGTGCTTTGGGAAATTTTGTAACTTCAGCTTGCTTACTGGTTAAATAGGGAAGGTTATTTTGTTGCAGATGCTTTGTGTAGGCTATCACCCAAAATATTAATGTATGGAAACATAGATTCTTACCATATTTATCTTGACATTTTTTATTCAATGTGGGGAAAAGCAGATTGAGATTCGTATTAATGTTTGACAGAATGCCCTCTGTCAGTGCTCTGTTGCTATACAGCAGTCAAATCCCACATACTTTACTATGCTCTGCCAGGAAGTTTACTAACCTTTCATATACTTAATAGGTGTTACAGCTGGTGCTGCCGAGTTGTTTTCCATACAGGAGGATTCTCAGCTATTTTTTTATGCTGCCTTTGCAAGACTTGCACCGGTTCTTTCTACAGTGCCAGATGTTGTCCATAAAGTAGGAAATTGTATACTCTTGCTTATTGAGTAGAGAAAAGAATCTACTTTCAAGACCTAGCAGGGAGAGGTTGCTAGAAATGCCAAGTTTAAAGAGAGAGATCAAGTATAGGAGATGAGAAGGCAAGACAAAACTCACTTGAATGTGAAAATGAATGCAAAATCTCAATGGAAACACATTTGATGTACTGACATTAAAGTGACTGTTCTGAGTATATAATCATTGTGGATATATGCAGGGGGTTTTGTATTGTACAATAATCAAATGAGTAGTTCTTTGTACACTGATGGAGATCTCAGGAGAGCTCTAATGATCTACATTTAAA